AGACCTCTAAGATCATCGAGTCCAACCATCAACCCAACAACACCATGCCCACTAAACCATGTCCCTAAGCGCCTCATCTACCCGTCTTTTAAATACTTCCAGGGATGGTGACTCAACCACTTCCCTGGGCAGCCTGTTCCAATGTTTAACTACTCTTTCAGTAAAGAAATTTTTCCTTACATCCAATCTAAACCTCCCCTGGTGCAACTTGAGGCCATTTCCTCTCGTCCTTTCGCCAGTTACTTGGGAGAAGAGACCGACACCCACCTCGCTACAACCTCCTTTCAGGTAGTTGTAGAGAGCAATGAGGTCTCCCCTCAGCCTCCTTTTCTCCAGGCTAAACAACCCCAGCTCCCTCAGCCGCTCCTCATAAGACTTGTTCTCCAGACCCCTCACCAGCCTCGTTGCCCTTCTCTGGACACGTTCCAACATCTCAACATCCTTCTTGTAGTGAGGGGCCCAAAACTGAACACAGTATTCGAGGTGCGGCCGCACCAGTGCCGAGTACAGGGGCACGATCACTTCCCTGCTCCTGCTGGCCACACTATTTCTGATACAGGAAGCACGGGCCAATCCGCTAGAGCACAGACGCGCGGGAACACAAGGCTGTAACCTATCAGTAAGCTGCTGATAGCGCGTGAACGCTTCTGTTTGCTATAAAGAACGCCGATAAAGAGCAATAAAGGTCTTTGGTTGCTGCCTGCCAGAGTCCGTGCCGTTAATCCCCACATGGCACCAACTCATCTCCCAGCTGAACCTGGAGCACAGTGGCCCACCAGTACCATCTACCAAGGCCTTGCAGGAGCCCAATGTGGGCACAGAAGGGTCGTGCTTGTGACTAAGGAAGCCGACAGCAGGAAAGCCTTTGCATTTCTCAATACTGAAAATACTTTAAAATTCACGGAATGGCTGAGGAAGGCACCTCTGGAGGTCATTTTGTCCAACCCCCCCTCCTCAGGCAGGGATGCCTAGGACCAGTTGCCCAGGACCTTGTCCAGATGGCTTCTGAGTATCTCCAAGGATGGAGACTCCCCAGCATCTCTGGGCAATCTGTGCCAGTGCTCAGTTACCCTGTGTGGCAGGTGCATCCACACTGATAAAGCCATGGGGCATTAGGACTGTTGATGTCCTTACTTTTCGTGCCTTTATGGGTGGCAAGTGCTGACCGTCATGTACATGCTTTGGGCCAGTAATTACAGTCAGGTATACACCTCGGGCAAGGAGTAAGAAAGTTAAGGTCCTCAGCCAATCAGAATTGACCACAGATCAGATTCGACTAGGGTATAAAGGGAGCCCCGCCGGAGGGCAAGCGGAGTCGGTCCTCCCTGGAGCAGCAGATCTGCAGTCAGGGACTCTCCCCTTGGGTCAGGATGCCGCCCAAGGAAACTCCTCAAGGTTGAGAGCCCTCATCTTACAGGTGAGCGGTTGTGCACATTTTGGATCCTCATTTCTGAAGCCGGCTGTGCAATATTAATTTCTCATACACCATCCTGAACCTGTGGTTTACTGATGTCGGAGTGTTGGCGCCTCATTTCTAGTTAGTTTTCTGCTAAACAATTTTGGTTTAAATAAAGTTTATTTTTGAATCTGTCACCTGCCTAATTTGATTTTGTGAGCCTCTGCGATACCCTCACAGCAAAAAACTGTTTCCTGGTGTTCAGAGGGAACCTCCTGTGTTCCAGTTTGTGCCCATTGCCTCATGTCCTGTCACTGGCTCTGTCCTCTTCTCACCCTCCCTTCCGGTATTTATATACATTAATAAGATTCCCCCTCAGCCTTCTCTTCTTCAGTCTGAACAGTCCCAGCTCTCTCAGCCTTTCCTCATACGAGAGATGTTCCAGTCCCTTCATCATGTTCATGACCCTTCACTGGACTCACCAGTAGCTCCATCTCTCTCTCATACTGGGGAGCCCAGAACTGGACACAGTACTCGGGTGTGGCCTCACCTGAGCAGAAGGGAAGGATTACCTCCCTCAACCTGCTGGCAACACCACCCCTAATGTAGCTCAGGATATCATTAGCCCTCTTCGCTGCAGGTGCACATTGCTGGCTCATGGTTAACCAGGACCCTCAAGGCCTTTCCTGCAAAGCGGCTTTCCAGATGGGCGGCCCCCAGCACACGCTGGTGCATGGGATTGTTCTTCCCCAAGCGCAGGACTTTGCACTTCCCTTTGTTGAATGTCAAAAGGTTTCTGTCAGCCCATTTCTCCAGCCTGTCAAGATCCCTCTGGATGGCAGCACAACCCTCTGGTGTACCAGCTACTCCTTCCAGTTTTGTGTCATCAGTGGACTCGCTGAGGGTACACTCTGCCCCATTATCCAGCTCTTTAATGAAGATGTTGAACAGGATTGGACCTAGTATTGACCCCCGGGCTACATCAGTAGTTACTGGTCTTCAACCACATTTCATAGCACGGATCACCACACTCTTGGGCCCAGCCATTCAGCCGGTTTTCAATCTATCTCACTGTCTGCTTATCCAGGCCATACACCAACAGCTTCACTATGAGGATCTTATGGGAGACCATATCAAAAGCTGGACAGAAGTCAAGGTAGACAACATACATTGCTCTTCCCTCATCTACCAGGCCAGTCATTTCATCATAGAGGTTATCAGATTGTTTAAGCATGACTTCCCCTTTGTGAATCCATGCTGACATACAGTGATTTACCCCTTTGCTAAAAGCAGTCTCACCCTTGCCTGATACCCCACCAGTGCTAGTCCCACCCTGCCTGTAAGGTCTTTTGATGAAATTCACTCGACTGTCACCTGTTCAAGAGACTTGCTGGGAAGGGCTGAAGTTATCCATCTCTCTGCTGTCCTGAGAGCAGAGAGATGTTTCACGAGAGCACCCCAAGCCACGTGTGCACCAGGACTTGCTGAGAGCTGGCTGGCCAGCCAAAAGCCAGAGCCACTGCCTTCAGCACCTCCTTCTTCACCAAAGCATTCTGTGCCAGGAGCTTTGGTCCAGGTCTGGCTTTGACTTGCAGAACTAAGACAATGTTGGCCAAGTCTGCTTCCACACTGGGACCGCAGCCAGCAACATGCAGCACCAAACAGGAGACAAGAAACACCAGCATCCATTTGTTTTGTCTTTATTTACAGGGGAGAGGAGGCCAGTATTTCATCTCGAGAGCTGTCTTGGCTGCTTAAGCCCTGAGAAGCCTCAGTAGTTCTGCAGGGCTGTGGTCCCTCTTACCTATGGCTGTACCTAGAATTAGCCAGTGCCAGCCCTTGATTATGGCAAAGCTGACATGCCTCAGGGAGTGTCTGCGGTGAGGGGGATAAAGGGCTGCCATGTGCCCCCATCACAGATCAAGGGGGAATGAGTTTGCCCCAGCAGCAGTCACTGGGGGAGGCATTTCCTTTCTTGTTCTCTTTGTTAAAAATCAAAGCTTGTCTCAGCTCACATGGGGCTGGAGAGCAATGGAGCATTGAACGTCTAAGCTTTTAACCATGCAAAGTAAAACCAGTGCTCTGGAAACACTGAAAATCAGAGGAAGCAAGGCTAAGGGGCCCCACTCCAGGCTTCGTGGGATGTCTATGAAATTTTTGCTGGGGCACGTCAGTCCCAACAGCATGGGCCAAAGGATCTTTCCTGGCTACCATCCCACCACATCCCCTTCCTTGGCTCCCACCAGACCCCTGCCCCAGCCCAGCTGCCCCACCTTGCTCTCCAGGCATCCCCAGACCTGCAGTACAGCCCCACCAGGCTGTCCTGGGACACAGCTGTTGCAGCACTACCAGGTTAGGGGAGACTAATTCTCACCCTGGGCAAGGGAGGGCACTCCCTGGGCAGCCCTGGGGACAACATACTGCAGGGACAGTATCTTCCACCATGTACGCAATGAAAGGGACACAGGCCAGGCAAGAGCATGCTCTGAAAAAAAGGGGAGCAGAGGACTCCTGAGCATCCAGTTTCATGCTACCCAGCTGGGTCCTGTGGATGTCCCATATGGGGATGCTAGGCAGCCCAGGGACCGCCACACACTGCTGCCCCCCCTCAGACAGGCTGCTCAAGCAGCTGCCTTTCATCATCTATTGCCCCTTTCTTTCAGAAGAGGCTGGTTCTCCCTTAATCATATCTTACAGACCCCAAATCCCCCATCCAAGAGCAAAACCATTCCAAGTGAGGAATGACAGACACACCTCTGACCTTCTGCAAGCCAACCTCCAGGCTTAGAGTTGAGCCCAGGGCTTGACTAGAAGTCCCACCACACACATGGACACCGAGCTCCAGAGGGGCTGAAGGTGTCCATGTGCTGTCCCCACCTAAGCCAGGCAGCGAGACTGCTAAAGATGCAAGCTGCCATATTTACACGATCACATACCCAGCATCACCTACCAGGTCCTTCCTGCAGGGTGTGACAGCAGACCCACACCTGTGGTGGGAAGGGGTGTCAGACACAAAGGGATGCCGTTGAGGGACCGAGACCTGGAGGTGCAGAGACAACCAGGGGAGGTATCACACATCATTCTTCCAACTCCCAGTGGCATTGTACAGTGCCTGCCAGCAAAACCAGGCTGCTCGGACTGGAACAGCAACAGCAGGAGGAGGCAACCCCAGCCCAGTCACAAAATCCATGCCGCACTCAAGCTGCTACCTCCACCACAGCCCATCCCTTCCCCAGGATGGAGACCACTGCAATACTAAAGCAGTTGTCAAATGCTCTTCCTTCCTTACCGCCTTTGATGTGAAGATCCTGACACCAACATCTCCCAAGACCCTCTTCCCAGCCCCCTCCCAGCAACACTGAGCCTGGCAAATACCTGATGGCAAGTAATTTTACGTTATTCTGCATTTACACAAAAATAGAGCAATTCTATATTTATAGAGATTTATAGCCGGTTCCGTGCTGGAGGAGTTATTGAGCAAGGCCAGGAGCTGTGGGTGGTCCAGGCTCCCGAGCAGCCGGCTGCTTCTCGTTCGGCATTTCCAACATACAAAATTAAAGGCATTCGTCTCCGTCTGGTTTCTTAAATAGATAAGGGGGGAATGAACAGACAGTATGTACAGAGGGGCAGTGGCAGGGCTCGAGCGCCCTCCGCCCCCAGCCTCATGCCTGCTGCCCGGGGGCAGGGCTGCCGGCTGGGGGTCAGTGAGGCCGGCTGCTGGACTCTGAGGGCTGCCGCTGGCGGGGAGGAGTGTAGCCATTCAGGTAGCCGTTGCTCTGGCGTTTGCTGAGTCCTCCATTAAGAATGTCCTGGATGTGCTGCACTATCAGGTTTATGGCCACTGTGAGCAAAAGGAAGGGAAACACACAGGGGAGAGATTGCATTAGGATCACTGCAAATGAACTAGAGCCAAGCCAGACATGATGACCTAGCCGTCTCCCCTGCTCCTATCCCCTCTTATCAAGCACTGGGGAGCTGCAACCCTGCAGGGAGGCGCTGCCCTGCTGGGACTTCATCCCTCTGCCCTGGCTGAGCCCAGCACTCAAGCCAGTATGGTCAGGCTGATTCCAGCCAGGTGAAGACATGGCTGTCCCAGTTGCACGTCTGGCCTTGGAGAAGCACATTTCCCTTTGTGTGGGATGAAACAGGAGTTTGCCTGGAGGCACTGCACATAGATGGGCTCCCAGGCTTGATCAGAGGAGCACAAACTCCTAGTCACTAATGCTCCAGGTGGGAGCAAAGGGGAGAAGCTCATCTCAGCACATGTATGGTAACAGCACTCTCTTGGGTGGCAGTGGCCTGAGTCACCTCCGTGGCAGGCCCTGCTCCCTCTTACCTAACTCCGCCACAACAGCAACAGCCCAAAGCCAGCTGCCAGAACGTAACAGCAGGGTCTGGGTCCACTCACCTTCATTATCTGCTCCTCTGGGAATGATCACGTCAGCATACTTCTTGGTCTGGGAGGAGAGAGAGCACTGCGTTACAGGGAAAGTGGAGAGCCACCAAGCTGGGGCATTGTCCCTGCTTCCTGGGGCAGGTCCTTGCCCTCCCCTTGCCAAACCCAAACCCACTGGGAGGTATGTCATTGCTGATAATACATTTTGGATGCTCTTACTTGTCTTCAGCTCTGTGTTTTGAGGGCCATGCTTTGCACCTTGACCCCATTTTCATGAGCTCATACAGATTCCGGTAAGAGGCAGTAAGAGCCACCCTAACAAAACCTGAAATTAAAAAGCCTCATGATCGCAAGACTCCAGCAGCTGATGCTTTTGGGAACAACCTCCCCCCTGAATCCAGCCAGACTTGGTACAAGAGCAAGAGTTGGCATGCCCAGGCTGTGTGGGCATGTGGGGCACAGCCACGTGATCTGCTTGGGATGTGGGGAGAATTTTCTTCCAGCATTGCTTGCAAAAAAGGTCTGATTCAGGACACCAGTCCCGACCTATTTTCACCTGCAAGTGCCAGTCTCAGTTTCCTCCCCTATTTGTGTCAGCTTTTACAGCTGATCAGCTTCCTGACAGCCAAGCTCTACCATCAGTAAACAAGCCAGCCTGCTGGGTGAAGGGTGTCATCTGACACCTCCAGGTGCTTCCAACCATATCAAAAATCACCAGGACTTGCTGGATCATTTCAGTGCTGGACCACCTGGACCAGAGCTGGTTTTGGAGTTGAGTAACAGCAACAGTGGGTGCTGAGCCTGTTCGACATCCACACGCAATTACTCTGCAGCTGAGCCCACCACCAGGTTGGACGAGGGAGCATACCACTGCAAAGCTGGTGGGTAGGGACAAAGCAGGTTTTTTTTTTACCGTCCTTGTTTCACATTTCATCCTCCTACAGACTCTTCAACAGAAGAGACTGATGCAGCATCTGCTGCTTTGCAAAGCTGCAGATTTACCTTGCTGGGGTCTTGCAAGGAGGGGAGCCACCAAGCTGGACCTGCCTCAGGAAAAGCCTTTTGGGATTACACTGTAATTGGACCTTGGGCCATAGAGCCACAACTGAGGGAGACAGGGAAGAGGGTGCTGTCCAGGAGCCAGGAGATCTTGTAGCACAGAGAGAATCAGCCCCTCTTATGGGAAGGGGCAGAGCTGGCCACATAGACAGGCACAGAGATGTTCCTGAGGCTGGAGGTACAGGTTCAATTCCTGCCTGTGGTGCTGGCCAGCAGCTCCCAGGCTGCAGGACTCTGCTGGCTCAGTTCCTCCAGAATAAGAAGAAATTCCTCATATAACTACCATATCTGCTTGAAAAGCCTTGAGAACCGAGGCACAGGCTCCTCTCCACAACAGCCAGGAGAAGTGTGCAATGGCTAGTCCTGCAAACGTGCTATTTCAGCTGCAAGTTCCACAGGACTGCAGTGGTCTCCCGCATGCAAAGTCCCTGTCTGCTAGGGAGCCTTGCCTCGGTTATCAGCTCCCAAAGTAGCTTCCTTTCTCCAGGCAGACCTTGCAACCCTGGCCCCGAGCGAGGTCTGCCTGCTCTACACCTTCGCCTCTCACCAGCCAGGAAATGCAACCTGCAAGGCCACATCCCGCAGCACAGAGCGAAGGATGAAGCGCCCCTGCTCTACCAAGCATCCAGCCAGCAAGAAGCCAGCAGCACTGCATGGTGAAAAGGGCAGGCAGGACAGCCCAGAACAGGAGGCAGACACAGCGGACACTGCCTGGGGGCAGGGATCTCCCCTTCCCCCAGCCAAGGATCATCGCTCCCAGGGCTGGCATCTGCTGAGCTGCCTGGTGTTGGTTTCTCAGACCCTGTGCAGGGAGAGGTTTCTCCTGCCGTGTCAGCCTTCCCATAGGGGAGGGTGATCTCACCAGAAAGGCAGTGGCTGTATAAATAGTCCCCATCTCACCCTGCCCTGGCACCCCCATTTTTGCCAGTGCCTGCAGGGAGGGAGCAAGGTGAGGCAGGCTGACCTGAGCTCTGGGGCACAAAATGCTCCTGTCTGAGGAGCTGGGCAGGGTATAAGCCATTTTTGGCAGATTCCCACGGGTGTCACTCCCCTTACTTACTGGCAAACAGAACTCCTCAAAGGCAGGCTTGACGAAGGTGATGTATTGAGATAAGATCTGCTCGAGGTCCCTGCCTCGCTCACTGATGTCTCGTAGCACTGCGGGAAAGATGTAAGGCACAGTCAGGAGCTGAGACATGAATTGCTCCATCCCCCTTCCCTTCAGTACAGCCTTTGGCCAGCCACCCGGGTATTTTGCCTGAGGTCTCTGTTTCTGGAAGCTACTGCCCACATGTCCAAGCACACCCCAGCCCAGCTACACGCTTTTAACCTGCTTCCAAGCCTTCCCAGGAGCCAAGGGCTGGCTGACCTGACCGAGGGTTTTTCTCAGCCTCCCTCCCTTCTCAGCTCTGCAAGCACATTTCAGCTGTAACCAGTGCCACCCCAGTCCTGACTGTTCCCAGCCTCAGCCCTTCCATCCCTCCTGTCACTCTGTCCTGCCCTTGGCCTAAGGATGGGGCATTCTCCCACTTGTCCCAGTGCAAAGGTGCCCAAGGAATAGAAAAGCAGTGGGGTTCACCCATACACACATTAAGGCGCAGTTTAACTCAGGTCTGCAGAGGTGAGGAGAGTAAAACTCACCCACCTACCCAGTTCTCCCAGGGTCCTTGTGCTGTCCCCGGCTGAGTGGGATGGGAAGGTGAAGCAGGCTCCCACAATGAGAGGCTGAGGGGGTGCTTGGAGGAGATCAGCTCAGGAGGAAGCCAGGAGGCAGGAGAGCAAGCTGGCCTCCTGCTTGTTCTGCCGTTTGGGCCTTACATCCTGTTTGCACGAGGTATTTGGGCCACTGCCATCTCTGGTCTGAAGCCATTTCAGCATTGAAAAGTGCCCCAGTTCACATGAGTTCAATCCACGGGTAAGAGCCAAAACAGCGCTGTGGCCAAGCAGACAGCTCTTGGCTCTCCCCAAGGGGCTGGCTGGCTTCTCCCCAGCACGCTAGCACCTGGCACTGGGTTCAGAGCGAGCCTTCTCCACGTGCCAAGCAGAGCCGAGCCACAGCACTGCCAGTCTGTGTGACCTGCTCGGCAGCCAGTGCCCATGTGCTTGCAGGGTCAGGACAGTGCTGTTCTCCCAGTGCTGGTTTGGCACTGTCCCCATGGCTCTGTTTGCCCTCGGCCAGCAGCTTTGCAGCATGCCCTTTCACAGCCCCGCGCAGGGGAGGTGACGGGGGGAAGAAAGGTCTGGCAGCAGGATTTGTGCCAGCTCCCTGCCTGCTCCAGGAATGGCTCAGCCCAGCCTAGGCTGCTCTAGCCAGCTCCTTGCCTTCTCCAGAGAGCGGGAGCAAGCCCCAGCTCAAACAATACAGAAAAACAGGCAAGGAAAATAAAACAGAGAGACTTTTGTTTCCCAGGTCCCACACCCTGTTTGTTGGCTGCTCTGGGGTGGAGAAGGAGCATAGTGAGGGTGTGTTTGCAGCACACCCGGCCTGGGATGGCATGCGGGAGGCCTGCAAACTGCACAGGGTGAGTGCCTAGGCTGCAGGAGCTGGTCCTGACAGGGCAAAACCGTCCTGCCTGCTCCCAGGACAGACCACAGCAGGGCAATCACCCCATAGACAAACACGAGTCAAGCACCCACTGTCTTGTCCCTGGCCCCAAAGCAACAGGTCCCAGCAACGCAGGCTAAGACCATGCACCCTATCTGGAGGTATCACCCTCTACTTGCAGGGCAGGCAAATGTCCCAAGGATGGATTGGCACCCGTCCAGAGCCAGAAGGCAGACATGACTCAAATCGGGCCCAAAACATACATGTGACACCCGACTTAGTCTTTGTTTTACAGAAGCTGGCCGAGAACGGGGCAGCAAGGGACCGTAGCCAGAATCAGCTTTGCACAGATCAAGCTGTTTGAGGCACCTGACAGACCTTGCCCCTTGTGCTCTGGTAGCAGCATTTTTCTTGGGAGAGGTGCTGAGATGAGGACAGCGCGAGTTGCACATACTGAACCCCAGCGCTACTGATTAACTGAGCTGTCAGCTACATTTCCAGGAATCTCATCTCCTGCTGCTGCCCAGCTGAAAAGCCCATTGCTGCAACTCTTCAGGACTTCTGGGAGAGCAAGATGACTCAGAGCCATGTCGCAAAGCAACACCCCAGCTTTTGCTACAAGCTACCTCCAGCTATGTTTCAGGGACACGGTTATACCTTCAACACCTCACACGCAGGTTCTCCTTTCCCAGCAAGGCCAGGGAGACATACAGTAAACAGATTTGCTGCTGCAGTGGTCCTACCAATTGCTGATGGCAGGCCAGGAGACTGACAAATAGTCAGTTCCCTATCAGGAGGCCGATGAGTTGCCCTAACTAGGAGACACCAGCACCTCAACCAGCCTAGCTGCCTATTTGCAAAGCTTTAGTGATTGATGGTGGGTGGGAGAAATACCCCAAGAATGGCCTGGGCCCATGAGGCTCAGGACCCCATCCAACAGCTGCAGCACAACAGGGTTTAGCTCTGTATTGTGGTCGGCAGCTGTATGGTCTCAGTTCCTAGTCAATGGGATCTCAACCAGTTTTCAAGCCCTGAGCTCACAGTTATGTACCAAGTCTGAAGTGACTGAACCACACACTCCAGAGTACGATTGGGATGCACGCAGAGTCACGTGGTGCTGCAAATGCACAAGGCAATGCCTTGCCTTCAGACAGCTGATACAGGGCACTGCCAAAAACATGTGCTACCCCATGGCTGAGTGTGAACCCAAGTTCCCGCACAGCACAGTCTGCTTAAGCGATAAGGTTCAGATTGCAGGATCTTGCAAATGCGTATCTATGACCTGCTAATACGTCTCCCTGCAATGACTGTGCTGTCACCTCCCTGGATGAGTCATGCAAGAACAGTGGGCAGGGTCAAGAAGGATGCGTAAAAAAGAGCACTGATGACATCCTAACAGTGGAGGAGGCTGTGTATCTGTCTGACAGCAGGAGGGCAGGCAAGACCAGTTCTGTCACAGAGTGGAACAGTCCCATGCACACAAGCAGTCCCAGGCTGACGCACTGAGACACACTCCTCTCATCACAGCACAGAGGCCTGGATGGGACCTCTCCTCTAAGTCACCTTATGCATCCCCAGACACCCTGTGGAGGCTGTCAGAGCCAGGCAGGGGTAGAAACAGTTCAGACAGAACTGAATTCTGCCCCAAGAGTCCCCATATTCTTTCTTAGTCATCTAGGAGACTCAGGTGCTACATGAGGGACCCCACTCCTAAAGGCTGCTTTGAAATGAACTGCATCTCAAACCACGCACACCCTGCAGAGCCGGAGTCCCTCCTATGTCAGCTGGCAACCTATAGCCAAGCCAGCTGAACATGGGGAGTCCTAGAGAGGGGTATTCTGGTTTCTAGGGCTCTTTGCCCCCAAAACCCATCACCCCAGTGCCAAGTACAAGAGGCTCCACGCTGCACTGGCTGTGCTTGTACAAATCAAGATGTAAAACCAAACTCCCTACCTGTATCATCCACAATGGACACCCTCACACGTAAATGCCATCCTCAAAGCACACCCATACCCCAGGTCCTGAGCAGATCCATCAAGCACTGCCTTCTGATTGAGCTGTTGAGCCGCTTTGCCGTGCCCATTGCGCCCTTCCCTGCTGATACCTGCTGATCGGCAATAGCTGCCATTCAGCTGATAGCACAGGGCTGGTGCCACCAGGGCCATGTGAGGACACAGCACTCAGTAGTCACACTGCTGAATGCAAAGGAGGAATCCCAGACAAGGCAGCAAAAACCTCACTGAATCCTAAGAGGCACGGAGCAAGGTGCTCCCTGCTGCTAAGCTGCCCTATGTGACATGCTGCACTGGGGAGGAAAAGCTCCCTGGCTCTTTGCTAGCAGCAGCACAGCTTTGTGCCAGTTCCAGTTCTGCTCTGGTCCCTGTCACCTGCCTCTGCCCAAATCAGTTAAGTGACATTTCTGTCCCTGCTGCACAAGGCATGTTCGGGCCTCACCTCTGCGGGACAGACGAGTATCTGCATCCGTGTCCACGAAGAGCTTCATGCGGAAGAGATCCCGCACCTCCTGGCTGTAGAAGGCCAGGATGCCTTCGAAGAGCACCACGTCGGCAGGGTAGACAGTCACCGTCTCCTCTTTCCTAGCAGAGGGAAGGAGAGTCAAAATATGCTGGTGGGGGAAAACAAGCTAAGAGAGGTGGGGGGAAACAGCGGTGCTCCTAGGCACTGCTCCAACCCTGGGACATCACTGCTGCACCAGGGGCGTGACTGAGGAGAGGGCAGACCTACCCCACCACGGTGAAGGGAATCCAAGGCATACGTACACTTCCTAGAAGGACAAACAGCAGAGCAGGAAGCAGACTAGCCCTTCTCCCCCCACCTCAGCCAGCTGCTGCTTGCAAGTGCTATGTGCCAAGCCGTAAAGCCTAGAAAGCCTATGCATGGGGCTTGACCCATGGGAACCTGCCAGGGCCAGTTCTGCTCCCCTGGGAACCAGGCAGCACTCCCCTAACACCACAGCGCTTTTGTGGGAAATGGAGCAAGGTCACACCATCCACGGCCAACACAGGCATGCAAAAACAAGCTGAACACATGCAAGGGAAGAGTTACAGGAGCAAGAACTGTCATCCTCCTCCTTTTCTGGCAGTGCCAGGCTGTTTGAGCCTGGAATACTTGTTAAAGCTGCAAACACAGAGTTTATGGGGAGAGGAATTGTGGCTGGGGGAAGAAAAGGGGAGCCATAACCCTCCTCCACTGATGCCTGGATGTGCTGGATGCAACTGCATGGCTGCGCAGCTTTCCAGACCCTCAGACTGCGCCTGTATCTGCCCTGGATCCTCTAACCAAGGGGTTTGGAGTAGTTAGCATTGAAACTTTTGGCTGGCACGTTAGGTGCCTAAGAGTTGGCACAAGCGGAGGGGCAGGCTGTTTGGGCTGACAAGGCTGCATGCTGCGCCGCGGAGCGTTAGCAGAGGCACAGCAAGGCAGGGGCAGCTGTTAGACCTGGAGTGGGAGACAAAGTCATAGACAGGAATCTGGACCGTCTTCCCTTCCGTGATCTCTTTGAGCGTTTTCACGATCAGCTCGTTGTCAAAGGCATCTGAGGAGAGAGGAAACGTTACCCGAGGCAGCTTTGCAACCTCTCCCACCCACCAGACGCTAAGCTTAGCCTAGCCAGAGCCACTGGCACCCCGCACTGGGGACAGACAGACACACAGACTTGGGAGGAAAGCCCTGCACGTCCCCATGGGCGTAGCAAGGCCCAGCTCTCCCAGAGCCCCTGGGGCTTCACTGCTTTGCACCAGCCTGGGATCTGGCCCACAGAGATCAATACCATCCTTGTATGGCAGTGCTGACAGCCTGGGCTTGGGAAGGCATCTCCTCCAGGGCTCCAGCCCTCAGAGAGACTGGAGCAGTGTTTCAGCCTCAAGCTGCCGGACAGACAGGGCTCTGTTTGCTCAGTGCTTGCTGCCTCCAGCCATTGTCCTCATAGGGACGAAAGGACGGTGGCTCTGAAATTTCCACACCAAGCCTGGAGATGGTTCAAAGAGCCCCTGCTGTAGCAACAGAGCATGGCCTGCTCAGTGGAGGGGTTTGCAGAACAGCTGCACAAGACGGTTCCCTCCTTGAAGGAGGGACACAGAGCTGCTGGCTCCAGGGGGCTGTGCCAGGCCAGATCTCCCTGGTCCCGACCCAGCCACACCAGAAAGGTTTTCAAACTGGGGGATGTTTTTGCAGGGAGAAGAGCATCTTAAGGAGTTTGAGGGTTCACAACCTGCCCTTTCTCATCCCAAACACTCCACCCCAGAGGCAGTTTCTTTCCCAAGAGAGACAGAGGTTGTACTGCAGGGAACACAGGTGGGCCCCAGCCACCCTGCCGGGGATGTACCCAGCTCCGGAAGAGCTTAACTAAGCCACCCACTCCTGCCCCATGCAGAGACAGAGTCCCACTGTCCATGCAAGGCTCTTTGCTGGTGGAGCAGGGGGTCCCGCTCCAGCCCTCGCCTCTCACTGCGCAGCAGAACCCCGGTGCTGTTCTCCATTCACCTGGGTGGTCAAAATTGAACTGGCCTTTGAGCGCTTTGGATTTCTGCTCTGAGGTGAGGACCCGGTAGAAGCTGTCTTGGCTCACAATCACCACCTGCTTCTGGCGGTAGTCCACCTCGTTCTGGCCCAGCAGCTGGACAATCTTGGAGCATACTGAGGACTGGGAAAGGAACAGCAAAGGAGGCAAGTCAGCGGCAAGTGGTGTCTGAGCCACGCAGGGAGGATGTCCTCAGGTAACAGCCATTCCTGGGTGCATGGGGCACTGCCTGGTGGACTCCCAGCCGAGACTTCGTGGTCCCCTCAAAGGCACAGCCCAAAGCTGCTGAGGGGAAAGTGCTCCAGGGGCATCACCATGGGGCCCTTCAGTACGAAAGCAGCACCAAGCTTGCTCCCTGCCTCCCTCTCCTCCGTCCCTATGGCGTGCCCAGAGCTCCTATTCTGGGCACAAGCTGTAGCAGGAAACCAGTTGGCTGCTGCCTGGGTTCAGCCGCACCCCCAGGGCCCCCGCAGCCAGCTCCAGCCTGCCCAGCAGCTCCCCAGGGAGCAGAGCTGTGTGTGGCACCAGGGTTGAGCCTCCTCCCTGGGAGACAGCCTCAGTGCCTTGGTTCCCCCAGCCCTGGTCCAGCCCAGAAACTCCACCACTGCACGGGCAGGGAGGGAGAGAGTCCTCAGAAAGGGAGAGCCAGGTTGTTTTCGTACTCTAAATAAAGCCCAGGATGAAAAGACACCAGAAGGAGAGCTCTGGGACTTTCTCAGGGATCTCTGCCACAGCTGCCAGGGCTGAGAGGAGCAGCCACGAGCATATCCTGGTGCTTCTTGGCACAGTGAGGCTAAGGGCACTGTGGAACCAGCGGCTGAAGAGCTACGTGGCTCTGGCTGCCAGCGCAAGATCCCCACAAGCACTCCTGGCACAAGAGACAGCACCCCGCACACCACGCAGAGCAGGCTGAGTGCCAGTGGCCAGCATCGGCTCTTTGCTGGCACTGCAGCAGGCACCAGCTGCGTGGCCGAGGGTCACACCGGACCCCGCCATCACGACACGAATCAGAGCACAGCTTGGGGGACAAATCCCAAAGCCTGCTTCAGTCCCTTCTCCTTAGTCATACAAGTCCTTGGCCACTGCGCAACACAGTGGTGTAACTGCATCACAAACTGGCAGCCAGCATGTCTGCCCCGGCCAGCGAGAGCCAAGGTCAGGCCGGTGGAGGAGTGCTCTGCTGCCTGCGGGAGCCCTGCATGCCAGCCCCGCTCCTGCCCTGTGGCATCCACTGTTTAAGGAGAAGGGAGGGCTCCTGGTGCCAAACTGAGCTGCTTCACCTCCTGCGAATCATGCTTGCTGCAGATGTCCATCTGAGCCACTCCTGGCCTCGGTTACCACATATACTCTCCGCTGAGCACTCTGCTTTGCAAAGCTGCCTTCCCACAGCCTGCCCATGGCTCTTTCCATGCTCCCACCTCCCCACCGGCTCAACCATCTGCTCCGTACCTGGCTGGCAATCCTCAGATGCAGAGCTGAAGACAGCGGTGGTGAGAGGGAACAGGGAGGGGAAGGCATGCCTGGCAGAGGAGGTCACCCCAGCAGGCAGAGGGCAAGGCTGTTTGCCTGAGAAGCTGGAAGATTTGACGGCACTCCTGTCCCCAGAGACCGTCTCTTCCCCTCCAGGCCAGGCTGACCTGACTTGGCTGTGACCGCTGCGCTGTGAGTCAGCCCCAGCCCAGCTGGAGAGCCTCCGCACACAGCACTGCTGCAGAGCGAACCGGCTTGGGCTGCCTGACAGCGCTCCTTGCAGCCCTGGGCACAAGTTTGGGTTTTGGGTCAGGGATGGGGTCTCCCTGAGCATCCCACCTTCTCCTGCCTCTCACAGCTGATGAGCCACGTCAGCAGCCCTGCCCTGCAGCAAGCTGCTACCATGCAGAAAAAAGCCCTGCAAGTCAGTGCCAGTCACTCAGCCTTTGGCACACGCAGACACAAAGCTGAAGCCCATTCTCCTTTTCCTCTGTTTTCCCACTCCCCACATCCTTCTCCAGCCTGCGTCAGCCCTATTGCTTATTCAGCTGTATCCCATAGGTTTTGCAAAAACAGGGCGTGCACAGTGCCTCTCCTCCACTTTTCATCCCTTGCTGTCTGTCTCCCCCAGCCGCTGCTGCCTTTCCGTGCTGCCCGTGCAGTGAGGAGACATGGCGTAGCAAGGTTCAGTCTTGGCCACAGCTGCCAAGGACACCAAACTTCCCAGGCCCTTTGCAATTTGGAATAAATCACCTTCCAGCTCAGCCACCCAGGCAGATCCCCAGCCTGTAGATCAGTAGGCTCCATACAGATCTGCACCAGAAACTGCTCTCCCCGGCCTGGGGGAAGGAGCAGGGCTCCTTTACATTGGATCAGTGAAAGCAACACAGCAGTTGCACTCACACTCTCTCCTTGGACCTCAGCACGCAGATGGACAATAAAACCATTTCAGGGCATCAGACAGTTCCAGCCAGTCTTTCCTCTGCCTCATGCACACTAATCCCTGATCTACTGATCCTGGAAAGTGGGGAAAAGAGTCCCCATCAGCTCTGAAAATCACCCTCCTGTTTCATACCCCACAACTCGAGACATCCGACGGTGAGAAAAAAAAAAAAGGAGAAAGTAGCCCTCAGCAGCTGGAGACAGGAACGTAAGTCCTGGCTCACATGTACGTCCTCCCACAGGGTCCCAGAACGAGGATCAGAGCGTATCCCGGATGCATTTACCATCCAGTGCTCTGGGGTGGCAAGTGCCTCTTGCAGAAGCATCCAGGCAGATGCTACGGACCCTTCCCTTTTCTCTGGTGGGCTTTGGAGAGCTATCAGAAGTGGTGGAAAAAGATGATCACAAGGACATCCTGCTCTCAGCACAGAGCTCAGGTCCAGTGTACTGTGTTGCCTGGGTGGGCAGGGTTGTCACCTCTGGGCTCTGCAAAGAGGCACACGTGTCACCTTGGTCCCACAGAAGGCAGCTGTGGGCCAGGGCACTGCTCGCATGTGATACCTGCATAACTGCAGTGGGACATAGGGACAGCGGGGGACACTGCATGTTCCTCCAACCCAAGGGTTGCATTCAGCTTGCCTTAGTGGGGCAAGCAAACCTCGGTAAGGACTCCTGCAGCTTTCTCTTTGAGGCTGGTAAGAAATAACGACCAACTCAGGTCTAAGTGAAGAAGGTTTTTCCTTTCCCCACGATCCCTTGTGATGGAAACAAGAATGGTTCGTGAGGGGCATTCCCTGATGCCAGTCTGAATACCTTCTACAGCTGGACAGGCAGATTTTCCCCTTGGTCGATAAACACCCTATGTTAAGGAGGATGAAAAATCAGAAACACAGAGGTTAAACTCCCCTAGGCAGTGGGAACAGAAACTCCCAGCCTCAGGAAGCATCCCTCCAAATGAATGACGCATGTCCCCTGCTTAAACCCCCCTTCTCCCAAACCAGCACTGCATACGTACGTGTGAGTGATGTTAATCAAAGGTGTGAAAAATGCACTAATAACTGGAATTGATAGTGGTTAGGCTCTGGGGAAGTCTGCAGGTGCCCAGAAAGACCAAGACCAAAGCATGACTGCGAAGTACCGTGCCGGGCTGCAACCAGCCTGGATGCCTGGTAACCTAGGGGATGCATGGTGCTGACACATGCACTTGAAGGGACAACCTAGGCTCTGATTCCTTCCTTTGCCAACTCCTAACTGCCTGGCTCCTACCAGCAACCGCTTCTCCCAAGGGTGAAGATGACAATTATTTCTTCCCTGAGAAGGCCAGGACTGCAGAGGCAAATGGAGGATGACTTGAGGAAGATGACATGATGCTACAGATGAATGCCAACATAGAAATTCTGAGATTTGAGTCCCATCCCTAGCTCTGCCCTGCATGACACATCCCATCTGCAGGAAGATGAGAGGCATGACAGAGCTCCTTGCCTCCGCTCAGCCCATTTCCCAGATCTACATTGTCCGTGCACACCTCGCCACGACCCAAAGCAAACGCTGATGGTGATTCAGCTGCAGTGCACTCCCGGCAACAGGATGCTTTCTCAAGCAAGCGCCTTCCCCTCCTCCAGAACTTATTTAAAACTAAATATAGACAGGACACAGCAGCCTCCGAACCTCCATGGTTGCCAAGCGTATCTTTCCCATGTTAGCCACATGAAACCGATGCAGGACTTCCAAGCATGCAGGCAGGGAGCCCCGGCCTCTCTGTCATCGTTCATGACTTTCCACGTGCTGCAGTGAGGGGAACTCAGCTCCAGGTTCGAGCAAACTGGCTGCGACCTACTGAGCTGCGCTCCCCCAGGCTTTGTGCTAGAGCTGCTCCCTGGGAAAGCTGTGCAAACCAACCCACACCACAGACAGTTGAGAGGGAGGTATCTGCACACCACAGTGCAAGAAGGGAGCTCAGAGATGTTATTCCCACACAGAAGTAGTTGCAGCTCCCCTTGCAGGTTTCCTCCTCTGAGCGAAGCACACAAATAACCAGTGTTTAAGGACAAAGTACAGCTTTATTCTGCTGGGAGGGGAAGATGCAGAGGGGAACTGGGGAAAAACTCCAGCATATTTTCCTAGAAGGAGAAAGGTGGTGCACAGGGGAAGAAACTCAGCAGATGGGTGTTTGGAGCCCTACCCCTCACATTTATTTGAAAGATATTAATTACATTACATATTTAATTTATATTCACTCATGGCCTATAGCCAGCTGCTCAGATATTCTTCAGGAGTTGACTAATTCCCCAATATTATTATGCAGATTATCCCACAATCCCTCTTGGGTATCTCTGATCAGCCAGTGAATTATGACTTCAGATGGGTATTAGAGAGAAAACCGATGGACAGTGCTACAGTTAACCACCGTGTGAAGGTATCGGGCACGACACAGCTGATGCTTTCAGCCTCAGGTTTGCTGTGGCAGATGGGGCAGTACAGGCTCCTCTGCCTCAGCTGGTAAGGCCTGTCCTGGGCTAGGAGGAATCCATAAGCCTTGTGCATGTGGATATGCCAAAGCCCACTCACTCAGAGCAGTCCAACCATCCCCAGGGAGCCTGGCACTGCAGAGGGATGTCTACACTGAGCTGCTCACTAGGCTCACAATACAGCAGCAGTGAGGACCTCCCATCCTCCCAAGGACTCTAGACTAGACACCTAGCAAAAGTGATTTATGCCAGATAAAGTGATTCCAGCCCTAAAGAAATACTGAAGCTGCCAGTCCCCTCGGGAGCAGGTGAAGGGAGAAGGGCTGTGCGAGAAGCAAGACCTACCAGGAGAGGCACGTGCTGGGCTCCAGTGTGGAAGGAAGAAAGGCACAGACTCCTGCCACTGCTGTAGGCTGCTCACCCTGAGCCAATATGCTGCTCACCCTGAGCACAGTCCTCCCCAGCAGAGCAATGCCCTCGGCCCACAACAAATGCTACAGCCAGCAGCAAGGACATACCGTAGCAGTCACGTCCCACCTCCCACCAAGGAGAGAAGCCCAGAGATTCTATCTACGGACACTACTGCCACAACCCCCTTCCTGTAGGATCTGGATGTGAACAGGCTTGGCAAGGTCTGTCGATAGCTTTGCATCCACAGGAGCCTGGCTGGTGTGTCCTCATCGCATGCTTTTGGATAAAATAGTCTCTAGTTTTGAGATCTGGCAGGGTTTTCCCCTAAGATCACATCAGGGACCACTGGGATTACTTGTTGCATTTCTCTGATGTCCCCGGTAGCATGGTTCCCTTTCTAGGCATCACAGGGAACTTTTACTCAATTGGGTCCTTGAAATCAGGAGCCGTAGCAATGCTGTCCTACTCTCTAGCTCATCTCCTGCAGTACACTAGTTGTGCATTTTGGTCTCTTCTTGTAAGGTTATGTTAATTATAGAGTATTAGGAAGTGCTTGGTGGACTGGGGTGACACACAGAACAGATACCAAATTGGGAAGGGTCCCACAGCATCTATTAAGTGCCTGCTTGTGACTGCAGAGAGCTAGTTCATGACCCATGCAATCCTTTCCAGCCCTAATGGAGCA